TTAATGGATAGTTTTTGGCAGTATTTGTAATTACAAATAGTGCTATGAATATGACTTTTGGTGGAAATAAGCACTTATTTCTTCTGAGTATACATACCTAGGAGAGGAATTGCTGGATCATAGCATAAGTATACATTTAATTTCATTAGATAGTAAAACTCTTCAGTTTTATATTCCCACCAGCTATGTATGAAAGTTCCAGTTTTTTCATTCACATCAATACTTTGCATTATCAGTTCTTTTTATTTTAGTCATTCTTATGTGTGTGTAGTACTAACTCTTTGTTCAATGAAGACTAGTGATGATGAGCATATCTTGTTTACTATTGACCATGTGGATAACTGCTCTTTTTTTAATTGAACTTTTTATTTTGAGATGATTGTAGATTCTCATGCAGTTGAAAGAAATAATGGAGAGAGATTTCCTGTATTTTTTATTTGGTTTCTCCCAGTGGTATCATCTTGCAGAATGACAGTAAAATATCACAACCAAAATATTACCATTGATATAGTCAAGATACAGAACATCTCCATCACCAAAAGGATCCCTGAGGTTGCCCTTTTATAGCAGTACCCACTTCCCTCCCACATACCTGGCCAACATTACTTTATTCTTCATTTCCATAATTTTGTCATTTCAAGAATGTTACATAAATGAAATCATGCATTATACAGTGTTTTGGGATTGGCTTTTTTACTCCTCATATTTTTTTAGGAGATTCATCAAGATTTTTTCATGTATCACTCATTTATTCTTTTTCATAGTAAGTACTATTCTCTTGTATGGACACTCCACCATTTTTTTTAACCATTCACTTCTTGAAAGACATTTGGGTTGTTTCTGGTTTTTGACTACTATATAAAAAAACTGCTCTAAACATTTGTGCCCAGATTTTGTGTGAACATACATTTTTATTTCTCTAGGATAAACATCCAGGACTGTAGTTGCTGGGTCATATGATAGTTGCTTGTTTATTTTTTCAGGAAACTGTCAAACTGCTTTCCAGAATGACTGTACCACTTTGCATTCTCCCTAGTAATGCATGAGTGATCCAGTTTCTGTGCCTTCTTGCCAGAATTTGGTGTTTCCAGTATTTTTAAATTTTAGCCATTCTGATGATTGTGTAGTGATAGCTCATTGTAGTTTTAATTTGCATTTCCTTAATGGCTAGTGTGCTTGTCTGCCATTTGCACATCTTCAATGAAATGTCTGTTCATATCTTTGCCACTTTTTAATTGCATTACTTTTTTACTGTTGAGTTTTGAGATTTCCTTATATATTCTAGGTACTAGTCCTCTGCTGGATATGTAGTTTACAAGTATTCTCTCCCATTCTATAGCTAGTCTTTTTATATTTTTAACACATCTTTCAAAGAGAAAAAGTTTTAATTGTGAAGTGTAGTGTACAGATTTTCCTTTTATGCATTATGCTTTTGGTCTCATGTCTAAGAACTCTTTGCCTAGCCTTAAATCCCTAAGATTTTCTCTGATTTTTTTTCCTTAAACTTTTGTAGTGTTATGTTTTACATTTATGTCTATAATGCATTTTGAAGTAAATTTTGTGTGAATTTTGAGACTTAGGTTAAGGTTGTTTTTCATTTTTTTTTTTAAAGATTTTTATTTATTTATTTGAGAGAGAGAGAATGAGAGATAGCACGAGAGGGAAGAGGATCAGAGGGAGAAGCAGACTCCCCGCTGAGCAAGGAGCCCGATGCGGGACTCGATCCGGGGACTCCAGGATCATGACCCGAGCCGAAGGCAGTCGCCCAACCAACTGAGCCACCCAGGCGCCCTCATTTTTATTTTTTATTGTCTGTCCTGTGGATATCCAGTTGCTCTAGCACCATTTGTTGAAAAGTTTTTAGTTGGAAGTGTTTGTGTGGGTCTATTTCTAGGTTCTCTGTTCTGTTTCATTAACCTATTTGTGTATATCTCTGCCAATAACACAAAGCCCAATTGCTCTATGAATATAATAAGTTTTAAAATTGGGTAGACTGATTCACTTTATTCTCTTTTTCAAAGTTGTTTTAGTTCTTATAATCTCTTTGTTTTTCTGTAAAAATTTCAGGATAATCTTGCCTATATCTATCTGCAGAAATCTTTCAGAGATTGTGATAGAAATTGTGTCACTTTGGGGAGAATTACCATGCTGAGTCTTCTAGTCCAAAACATTTATTTACTCTGTCATTGCTCTCTTTCATCAGCATTGTGTAGTTTTCAGCATACAAATCCTATACAGGTAGATTTTTCTCTAAGTGTTTTATTTTTTTGATGATTTATAAATGCTACTGTATTTTTAATTTTGGTATCCATATGGTGATTGTTCTTGTATAGAAATCCAAATGATTTTTTTTAAAAAAAGAATTTATTTGCGAGAGAGGGGGAACAAGCAGTGGGGAGGGGCAGAGGGAGAGAGAGAGAGAAGTGGACTCCCCACTGAGCAGGAAGTCCAATGTGGGGCTTAATCTCAGGACCTGGAGGTCATCACCTAAACTGAAGGCAGACGCCTAACTGACTGAGCCATCCATGCACCCCCTACAAATGATTTTTGTATGTTTATCTGTGTCCTGTGCCCTTGCTGAACTGCCTTATTAATTCTAGGAGGTTGGGTTTTGTTGGTTTGTTTTTATTTTGTATATTGTTTGGGATTTTCTGTTTTTCTATGTTAGACAATCAGGTTGTTTGTAAACAGGGATAATTTTGTTTCTTCCTTTCTAGGAACAGTGGGACTTGTTTTTTGGTGGGGGGTGGTTTTCTTTTTTGGTATCTACTAGAATATATAACAGAGTAGCAGATTCTGCCCACTATTAAGTCTAAAATGAAAGAGACATTACATTCCAAAACCTGAAGATACTAGGAGACCATTAGAACTGATGGTATGGTTGGGATGCCTGGGTGGCTTAGTTGGTGGAATTTGTGACTCGATCACGGGACTGTAGGTTTGAGCCCCACGTTGGGTGTGGAGATTAACTTAAAAAGTCTTTAAAAAGAAAAAAAAGAACTGATGAGATGGTTGAGGATCAGGGAGTGATTGAAAATGACACCAGTGTTTTGTTCCTGAGTAATTGGGTGGATGTAATAAGGTGGGAAACTCCTAAGTAAAAGCATTTTGGAGAAATATAATGAGTTCTACTTTGGACATGCTGATTTTTTAAATACCTGTGGTACATATTTCTTGATACGTCCAGTAGATATTAGAAGGATGGATTAAGAATTTAGGGATGAGGTTGGAATTATAATTCCTACTTTGAGATGGTAGATGATGCCATGGGAGAGAGCACATTTGGAATGAGTAGCAATCTGAGGAAGAAATGCTAACGAAGGAAAAGGATTTAGAGATATAATGGGAAAATGAAAAGAATGCATTGTCACGGAAACTATAGAAACCTCTCCGGTCAAAATTCCACCTAATTGTCAAGATTTGTCTTAGAAAATTCAGTGATATCTTTCAGACATCATCACCTGCCCAGTCCCATCTCCTTTTAGTCATTCCCTAATATATATTTCTATAGCAGTTTCTTTTTTCTCTAGTCTCGCATTACACCATATTAGAGTTTCTTGTTTATGTGTCTGTTTCCCTATCAAGATTTTATGTTCCTTGATGGCAGAGATTAGATATTCATTTGTTTTCCTGTGTATGGCATAATTCTTAATAACAATTTGTTTAATTGAATGAGTAGGAGATGGTTAGTTTCAGAGGTTTGAGAGGGGTTGAGTAAGAAAAGAACTGAGAAGAGGCCATTGGATTTGTTGATGGACCTTAGGAAAATTGATATGTGGGAGTGAATAGAGAGTTTTCTAGTCTTCTTTCAAGTCAGTCCTGCCCTTTCTTACACCTCCTACCTTATTCCCTACTTATGTGGTTTCAACTTTTGTTCCTTTGATACATTGTTTTATCATGATGGAAAAATATTTTTCCCTGTGGCCTGTGAAAATTCTGTTTTTCCAAAAATAGCTCATATCCCTTTTGCAATGAAACTGCTGCCTACACCTATATTAAATTAACTCTTTGATAAACTTCCAAGGTACTTTGTATTATATTGTTAACACTTAATCATTCTTGAATATCTTTATCCATATCATACCATGTTATAATTCATATTCTGTTTATATCCTATAATATTAATAGTGTACTTGATAAATACTTAAAGACTTAGGTCTTGATTTTTAAATATCATTGTTAACTTATTTCAGAGCTTTTTTTGTTTGTTTTAGTCTTAAAACCTTTCTTTTAAATTCAGAGTTCACATACAAAAAACACTAAAAACAAATATGTTTTCAATCTAAATTTAAAAGATAAGTCATGAAGGCTCATCGGGTGATATCTTTATGAAATATTTTTGTGACAAACTTCTGTACAGGATTCTATATACATCCTCTGCATAGGAACTTGTTCCTGTTTCCGTGTTCTGGTAACATTGTGGTACCAACCCATAATAGACTAGATTCTCAATCTTTGTTTTTCAGGCCTTTTTTTTTTATGGACTCCAGTGGGCCAGAAATCATTAATTTTATTTTTTACTTTTTGTATTCATAGCATGGTTTTGTCACACAGTAGTCATGTTTGAATAGCTGAATGAATTTCTTTGGTTTCTGTCACCCGAGTTTTTCTAATATCCAGGATGATAATATCTGTAAAATATTTTTGTTTTGGCATTCAATTTCTATTTGAATTGTGGTTTTTTTTTTCCATTTAAAAATGTATTCCATTATTCAGTTTAAAACTGTTTTCAAGGTATTACAAATATTTACCATTTGGAAGTTATTCTTTATGATCCATGTTGTAATTTCTTGGTGTATAATTTACCCATTATATCTTCAGTAAATTTAAGTGTCTTCTTTTCTATCCCAGAAATTGTATTTTTATAGAGGAACCAGTAAAATACCAGTTTTAACTTTATTTTTAAAAAATATATGCTATTATTCAGTACCTTTTACCTAAGAGCTAATTTAAGTGGGAAATATTAGTTGAATTAAACAAAAAAGCCTTTCTCTTTCCAGATTGCAGCAATTCTCCGGAAACGAAAATTAGACTATTATTTACACAAACTACTCCCTGAGATCCTACAATCTGCTTCATTTCTGACTGCTAATGGGGCCTTGTATATGGCTTTCTTTTGCATTTTAAGGTTGGTACTCATAATCACCACTGGAGATTAATGCAGATTCCTTTTTTGAAACTGAAACAAACGGATGTTTTTATAAATGTTGTGCGGGTCACTGCTTGTATATTTTTTTCTCCATCAAAGATATTTATTTATCTCAAAGAAAGCTTGTTAAACGAGGAGTTGTGGGCCTCTTGGCCTAAAGATGTAATATAAACTTTAAATTATTTCAGTGATTATATAGCAAAAGTGTTTCGGTATATCGTGCATGTTCTGAGGCCTACTATATTTACCAAGTTGTTGATTATGCTTTCTTAGCTTTTCAATTTCATGGATCAGGAAATGAAAGCACCCATCATGATATAGGTGAAGTCCACATGCAGTGAATAGACTTCAGAAGGACTAAAAAATGCTCATGTTTATATGTAAAACAGTAAATTAACTTCTGGCATATCCTATTGATGAAACTTTTGGTCCTGATTAAGTCTTTCGATTACCTGTGTCACATGCTTCCTATGATTTAGATACAGTTGGAGTTCAGTTTTTAGTTCTATGATATACCTAACATGTTTATTATATATTTACTTATCTTTTTCTGTAGTGATTGTTGAAAATCCAAACTAGTGTTTTTGTTCAAATGGTCAAACTAAAATACTAAATTTATATTTTTCTCACATTAGTGTTGCTCAGAGTAGTTCTGTAGGTATACATTAACTACAGTTAAAAAGATAATTTTCATATGTCTTTTACAGTTTTTTTCCCTCAATACATTAATATTTATAAACTTTTAAATTATGTAGAAAATAATTGATAAGGTTTATACTATTGAAAATCATTGCCTTTAAACTTGACTTGAAAATGTGTGTAAGAAACTCTATCATATGTTCTCTGGAAAGTTTCTAATACTTGCTCACACACTAAAAATAAAGTTATAAGATAATTAGGTCTTAAAATACTGCAATAATCATAAATTGCTATTGTGGCATATTTATTTATGTTCTGAGAACCTGTTTGGTTAACTTGTGGAAATGCAAAACACTTATTGGGTTTATAGTTAACAATGCTTATAATAACATCTGTGTTCCTCCTATAACTGACTCCTTGAGTTATTTTTGTTTAATTTTTTTTTAAAGATTTTATTTATTTATTTGAGAGAGAGAATGAGAGAGAGAGCACATGAGAGGGGGGGAGAGTCAGAGGGAGAGGCAGGCTCCCCGCTGAGCAGGGAGCCCGATGCGGGACTTGATCCTGGGACTCCAGGATCATGACCTGAGCCGAAGGCAGTCGCTTAACCAACTGAGCCACCCAGTCGCCCCTTTTTGTTTAATTTTTACATTTAGTAACTTCTTAAGGCCTTTATAGATTTTATGTTGGAGGGAAAATCACTTCCGGTTTTCTCAGGCCGAGGGTTTTCTGATGTTCATTTTAGAAATACCCATGTTATATATGCTCTGTTGGTTTTCTAATTCTTCTAAAGCTAAACTTCAGTTAGAAGGAAAAAAATACCATTTCATCAGTGATTCTTAATCCTTATGTGTATATACATATATTTTTCTTATAATGTGTTATTTAGCAGTCGGCCAACTTTGTTCAGATCACTTTTCGCAAATTCTATGTGCTGCTTCTCCCTTTCTTAGGAACATGTAGTCTTTGAAAGGAAAAAAATAATCTTTCTAATGTTTCCAAATATCTTTTTTGGTCTTTTTTTTTTTTTAAGATTTTTATTTAGTTATTTGAGAGAGAGAGAGAGGGTGAGAGAGCATAAGCAGGGGGAGCTGCAGAGGGAGAGGGAGAAGGAGAAGCATACTCCCCATAGAGCAGGGAGCCTGATGGGGGGCTTGATCCCAGAACTCTGGGATCATGACCTGAGCTGAAGGCAGATGCTTAACCGACTGAGCCACCCAGTCACCCCTTTTTGGTCTCTTTAAAAACCCAATCAGCTAATGGCCATTTATAGTGTGTGAGACACTTTGTAGGTTCTTATTTTCAAGGGACATATTCTAGTAAGTGAAAAATAATATATACACACACACAAAACTAAAAAATATAAAATACGTAAGTACTGTAAGGAAAAGTTATCAAGGGTTGTAGAAGCAAAGAAGGGGAGACATTTGTTGAATATTTAACATGTGTTAAAAAATAGTAGTAGTAATAATAATAATAGTAATAATAGTAATAGTAATCATAACAACAGCTAACATTTTCCTCACACTTTCTATGTGCTGTGCATGGTGCTAGGAAATACCTCATGTAGTTCTCATAACGTTATGAGGTAGGTACTATTATTGTTCCCATTTGATAGGTAAGGCAACTGAGAACATAGAGGATTTGCATAGTGAGTAACATTGGATCCAGGGAATGTGTGCATGAATATGACTGACTAAATTATTGGAAGGAGAGATACCTATTAGTTTGCTGTTATAACTAGAATAGGAGATGGTGAGGGAGTTAACTGAGGCAGGGGTGGCAGGTTGGAGAGGAATTTGAGAGAGAAGTTGTGTATGGAAAAATTTAAGGGAACGATTTAATGTGTGGGGGAAAGGAAAAGGAGAAGCTAAGGATGTCTCAGTGTCACACATGAGTGGGTAGGTAGGTGTTGATCCCATTCACCTAGGAAAATAGAGGAGAGAAAGTAAATTCATGGGGATAGAGAAGAGAGCTAATGACTTTGGTTATGGACATGTTGAATTTGAGGTACTGTGGGACATTAGGTAGAGGGTGGACTGAGAAGGGGGAATTTCTATTCATAATAACTGAAATAACCAAATAGAAATTTCATACAAACATTCCAAATTTGAATTTCAGGAAGATACTTGGAAAATTCTACTCTTGGAGTCCTGGCTTTGGTGCCGCTTTGCCAGCCTCTTATGTGGCCATTCTAATTGAAAGGAAAAGCAGGTAAAGTTTTATATATCTACATATTTAATAGCACTGATTTACTGTCCTCTACCCCAAGTAAGTTTTTTTTAACTTACTATTTATTGTAGTCCAGGGATGAAAAATATTTTCACATATGTTTTTAGACTTGCAAATATTTGATGGAAAATTTAATTTTGTCTTAATATTATTATCTATGTTTATTAAGCCTGTAAAAATATAAAAGGTTGACTTTATAGAATAATAATACCATTTGGCCTTTGTTTACTAAAATGTTAGAGAGTTCTTGAATGTGCCTAAGACATGGCATGCACAAATCTAATTAAAGATCTTTTCCATAACCACAATACCACTATCCCACCTAAGAAAATTAATGGTAGTTTTCTCTTGTCATCTACATCTGTAATTTGCTTCAAGCTCATTGAGTGACCTCTGTTAAATCAATTATTATTTTTAAGGTATCTTCTCATTTAAAAAAAAATTTTCATTTATATAAACCAGAAAATGTTTCATGTGACATAATAAGATTTCTATAAAATGCTATAAACTATTATGTAAATTTTTCAGTCAGGTAAATAGTTGAAGGTAAAGCTTTTGCCTAAAAAAATTTACCATCTTGTAAATAATTATTTTCATCGCTGGGAACTGCATTGGTTCCATCTTTATCCGAGAGAGTCAAGATGGGGTCATGTTTTAATCAAGGGGTCATGTATTAACCGAGATTAGGTCATTATCCAGCTTATGAAGATATTCATTATAATCACTGATCCCATAGTAAGAGTATAGATAGATTTTATCAGATAACCAAATATTTACTTAAACCACCTGAAGTCACTTTTAATGCCTCTTGTTTAAGTAATGTAATGGTGTCTGAATTTTTGGTGTCTAAACTTTTGGTTCTTTGCTTGTATCATAATATGATTGGATTATTAATATTACTAAAATCAAGGGATATTATTACTCCAGCATCATCAAGTCAGTATTGCTAGAAACATAAGTTATCCCACCTGATAGTACCATATAGAATAGTATTGTATTAGGAGTGTGGATTCTGGAGCTGTATTTTCTTGCTGGGGCAGCTGACTCTGTCACTTAACTGTGTTATGGCTTATTCCTTACCTGAAAATGGAGACAGTGATAATCTAGTCACATGGCTGTCCAGACAGTTAAAGGAATTAATGTATGTAAAAGTGCTTAGAGCAGTGCCTGACACATAGTAAATGTTACGTGTTAACTTATTATTGGTTTTTGCCCATAAGGAATGAGAAAGTTACTCTTCTGATTGTTGTTAACTTCCTGATTCATTTAAAAATGTGAACACTTGTTTTAGAAATATGATTTTAAAATATGTAACTCATACGTGAAACTTTAAAGATGTTTAAACCAAGTTTGCTCTGATTTATTTATTTTTAGCACTTGAGTAATAAGAGCATTTTGAAGTTATTTACCTACTTTTCAACAGAAAATGTTGAAATTGAACACATGTGTAACCACCTAGAGTCAACAGTTGTTAACATTTTGCTGTTTTTACTTATTTGTAAGTGATTATATGTATGTGTGGTTGTGTGTGGTGTGTGAACCATTGTAAACATCATGACACTTCTAAATACTTCAGCATACATATTTTAAAATAAGGATATTTTTTCTGTGTAATTACAATACTATTATCACATGTAAGAAAATTAAAAGTCATTCCCTAATACCATCTAGTCCATAGTGTCCTAAAATGCTTTTATCGCTTTTTTTTTTGAACCACACTCTAGTATAGTGTTATATTTCCTTATTTTCTTTTAATCTAGCTTAGTCTTCCCATTTTCCCCACATGACATTGATTTATTGATGTGATCAGGCCAGTTGTCTTGTGTGTAAAACTTTTCTGGTTTTGTCTGAATTTTTTCCTCATGGAATTGTTTGATTGGTTCACTTAATTTACATATTCCCTGTAAACTGAAGTTTGGGCTGAAGACTTGATTATATTATGATTGAACACTTTTGGTAAGCATATACATCATAGATGATGCTGAAGCCATCAGGAGGTCCATAGTTCTAAGTTTGATTATGTGATAAAAGTGGTAATCACCAGATCTTTTCAATAAACCTATTATTTTGAGGGAATGAGCTGAATGGATTTCTTGACATTTCACAGTCCTTGCTTTGCTGGAGTGAACCTGAGTTGATCATGATACCATTATTTGTGGCTTAGCTAGTAATTGTGTGTTTGAGTGTGTGTCTTTCTGTTTTCTTTATCAGGTTTGAGTGTCATTTACTTCATAAAATAGTTCAGAAGTTTTCCTTCTTTTTTTCTTGCTTTGGAGTAGTTTAAGTAGCCATGAATTTTCAGGCCTTTGAGTATTTGGCCCATTTCTCTGTAAAACCTGGGCATGGTGACTCTTCTGGGGGTGGTAGTTCTTAGGAAAAGTTATCAGTTTCCTCTATGGAATTGATCTGTTTAAACTTTGAGCTCACTTAATAAGGACGTTCAGTAACTTCTCTAATAGCTAGAAAGTTCTATTTCCCAGAAAGTATTTATTTTATAAAGATTTTTATATTTACATGGAGTTGTACCGAGTAGTCTTATGATTTGATTGAATTTTGTTTTCAATGGTTGTTTTTCAATTTGTTACTTATTTTGTGTGATTGTGCCATTTCCCTTTTTTATTAAGTTAGCTAGTAATTTTGTTGATTTTTTTTTTTCCAACAAATCATCTTATTTATTACTTCTCTTTTTTGGTTTCTTAATTCTTGTTTTTATTTTTTCCCCCTTCCTTCTACTTTCTTTTGATTAACTTGCTTTTCTTTTAGAAACCTTTTCATTTGTTGCTTATTTCTTTTCATTAAGTTTTATTGATATAAGTATTTAAGGCAGAATTTTCTTTTGATAAGTGCTTTATTTATAGCCCATAGGTTCTGATATGTAGTACTTTCATTATCATCATTTTCTAGAAATTCTGCAATTTTAGTTTGTATTTCTCTTGTAATATAAGAATTATTTAGTAGAGAGCTTAAGAAGATGGAAGGCCCTTTTGTTATTAATTTCCAGTTTTATTGCATTCTTATCTGAGAATGTTGTTCATAGTATTTTCTCTGTATAAAACTTAATAGGGTTTTCCTTGTGGCTGAATTTATGCTCAATTTTGTGACTTTTTTTGAACATTTGAAAAAAAAGTGCATTGTCTTTTATTGGGAGTTCAGAGGTTGGCAGATAGCCATGAGATCTATGCTATTGGATATGATTTTAGGTTGTATCTTTAATTTGAGGTGCAATTTCTAGCATTAAAAAGTATGTTCTTTATTTCATTTAATGTATTTTGGCTTGAGTTCCAAATTTTTAGTTATCTTTCTTTCTTCTTGCTTGCATTTGCCTAGTATGTCTTTATCTTCCTGAAACACTTGATGGGTCTATCTTACATGCCACATAAACTTGGGTTATATTTGGAGAGCCAATCTGAAAAAATCATTTTATTTTGATATACAAGTTCAGTCCATATACATTTATTTATACAACGGATATATTTGGTTTAGTTCTGCCATATGATTTTGTTATTTTTATTATGATTGTCACTATGTGGTCTTTTATTACTTTTTTTTTTGCTGTTAACTTTGACGTGATTATAGAGTCATGGAAAATTGCACAAATAGTACAGAGACACTTGAAACCTTAACCCAGTTTCCCTCCAATGATAGCATCTTACGTAACTGTAGTATAATATAAAACCAGGCAATTGACATTATTGTCAGCTAGACTATGGCCCTTATTCATAGTCACCAATTTTTACATTGACATGTCTTGATCATTACAGTATCACGCAGAGTAATTTCACTGTCCTGAGAATCCTCTGTGCTTGGCTATTCATTCCACCCTCCCCCTAGCCCCTGGTAACTAGTCACCTTTTTACTCTCTTACAGTTTTACCTTTTTCAGACTATCATATAGTTAAAATCATACAGTATGTAAGCTTTTCAGATTGGCTTTTTTTTACTTAGTAATATGCCTTTTTTTTTTTTTTAAAGATTTTATTTATTTATTTGAGAGAGAGAGTGAGAGAGAGAGAGAGAGAGCCCAAGAGGGGGTAGGGTCAGAGGGAGAAGCAGACTCCCTGCCGAGCAGGGAGCCCGATGTGGGACTCGATCCCGGGACTCCAGGATCATGACCTGAGCCGAAGGCAGTCGCTTAACCAACTGAGCCACCCAGGCGCCCAGTAATATGCCTTTAAGTTTTGTCCATGCCTGTACATGGCTTGATAGGTTATTTCTTTTTAGTGCTGAATAATATTCCACTGTCTTGATGCACCACGAGCTGTCTTCTACCCTACTGAAGGACAGCTTGTTATTTCCAAGTTTTGACAGTTACGAGTAAAACTGCTATAAATATCCATGCATGGGTTTTTGTGTGAATATAAGTTTTCAGCCCCTTTGGGTAATTACCAAGGGGTATGATTGCCGTATCATATATTAAGAGTATGTTTAATTTTATAAGAAACCGCCAAACAGTTATCCAAAGTGGCTGTACCAGTTTGCATACCCTCCAGCGATGAATGAGAATTCCTGTGGCTCCACATCCTCACCAGCATTTAAGTGTTGTCAGTGTTCTGTATTCTGGCCATTCTAATAGGTATGTGGTAGGATCTCATTGTTTTAATTTATATTTCCTTGATGGTATATGTTGTAGAGCATTTCTTCATGTGCTTTTTTATTTTAATCTGCAGGTGTCTTTATAGTGATTTCTTGTAGACAACATATAATTGGGTCATGTTTTTGATCAACTCTGACAATCTCTGTGTTTTAATTGGCATAGACTATTGACATTCAAAGTGATTGATATACTTGGATTAATATTTACTACATTCATTACTGTTTTCTCTTTGTTCTTTGTTTTCATTTTCTATCTTTTACTCTTCTGCTTTTTGTGGTTTTAACTGAATATTTTATGTGGTTCCATTTTCTCTCCTTTCTTAGTATATCAGTTATACTTTTTTTTCTTTAACGTTTTAGTGGTTGCCCTAGTTTTATAATATACATTTA